CGCCAGCCGTGGCTGAGCACTCCAGACCCCCCACACCCTCACCACCGCTTGGGGTGGTCAGTGTGCAACTTCCAGCCCCTCTAGCAGGCGGGCCTGGTATCCTGTCGTGGTCTGGCTTTGCACTCCCCCGGTGATGGGGAGCCGAGCAGCTTTGCATGGCCTTACTGGCCATACGGGTGTCTTCCCTGGCGAAGTGTCTGTTCAGATCTTTGGATGCTCCCCCTGCCTTTTTAAGTGGCTTGTGTGTTTTCTTACTGCTGTCTTCAGAGGTCTTTGTACAATCAGGACATGAGCCCTTTGTCGCCGTGTGATATTCGCAAACACCTTCTCCCAGCCTGTGGCTTGTCTTTCATGCTCTAATGGTGTCTTTGGAGCTCTGGTGGGGCACTGGTTCAAGCATTCAGCTGCTAACCAAAAAGGCTGCAGGTTTGAACCCACCAGCCGCTCAGTGGAAGAACGATGAGACAGGCTTCCATAGACATGACGGCCCTGGAAACTCTGGGGCAATTTCAGTCTGTTCTCTTGGAGTGCTGTGCTCAGCTTTAAGCATGTGCTGCTCTCCAGGGCCTGCCACAGTCCTGTCCCTGAAAGCCTCAGGAGCCTAACGCCGGAGGCCAGCACACAGTCAGGGCGGCACGGTCGGCCTCCCTCCTTGAACTGTGTCAGAATACCCTGGCCGACAGTTGGTTACCACGTGACGCGCCATGGCTTCTGCGCACGATGGCATTTACTGGACCATTCTGAACAGGCTTGAAGCTTGACCGAGGACCGTTGATGAGGGGTTGTGGGGGCAAGTGTGAGGAAGTGAGACAGGACAAATGGGGAGACACCTGTCCCCCCACCACCAGCAAACTCCAACGCCTGGATAGAAGGGACACCAAGGACCAGGGCGGTGGGTGCTGAGAGGCCTGGCATCTCTGCAGAGGCCTGCAGCCACATACCCACGGTGGGGGTGCAGGGGTCAGCCCCAGATTCCCAGTGAGAAAACCAAGTTGGTAGGAAAGCCATTCACGCCCTCACACCCCACCGTGATGCTAACCTGCAGCTGCAGATGGGCGGAGGCATCACTGTCTCCCTGCCCCGGACTCCCACCGAGGGCACAGCTGGAGGTGCCAGAAAGTCTGAAGTTGGAAAGAAACCTGCTTTTCAAAACCAAAAAACCAAACTCACTGCTGTCAAGTCAATTCCTACTCATAGCGACCCCTCCGTGGGTTTCTGAGTGGTATCTCTACGGAAGTAGATTGCCCAACCTTCCTTCCGAGGAGTAGCTGGTAGGTTTGAACTGCCAGCCTTCTGGTTAGCAGTCAGATGCCTTAGGCACTACACCACCAGAGTTCCCACACTGTTAGACCCACTGCCATGGAGTGTATTCCGACCCACAGCGCCCCTAGAGGACAGAGTGGAACTGCCCACAGGGTCTCCAAGGCTGTCAGTCTTCACAGAAGCAAAGCCCAAACCACACCCACTGCCTGGAGTCCATTCTGACCCACAGCGCCCCTAGAGGACAGAGTGGAACTGCCCACAGGGTCTCCAAGGCCGTCAGTCTTCACAGAAGCAAAGCCCAAACCACACCCACTGCCTGGAGTCCATTCTGACCCACAGCGCCCCTAGAGGACAGAGTGGAACTGCCCACAGGGTCTCCAAGGCCGTCAGTCTTCACAGAAGCAAAGCCCAAACCACACCCACTGCCTGGAGTCCATTCTGACCCACAGCGCCCCTAGAGGACAGAGTGGAACTGCCCACAGGGTCTCCAAGGCTGTCAGTCTTCAGGGAAGCAAAGCCCAAACCACACCCACTTCCTGGAGTCCATTCTGACCCACAGTGCCCCTAGAGGACAGAGTGGAACTGCACCACAGGGTCTCCAAGGCTGTCAGTCTTCACAGAAGTGACTGCCTCATGTTGCTTCTTGAAGAGTGGCTGGTGGGTTCAAACCACTGACCTTTTGGTTAGCAGCCAAGTGCCTTAACCACGGTGCCGCCAGAGCTCCTTGTGTTTGCTACTCAGGTCAAAATACCACAGCCAACAGACTTGGTTGCTATGCAACGCATCCACAGCCCTTGTTTACCATGGCAATTACAGGACTGTCTTGAAGCAGCCAGAAGCCCTGGTCCTGTGCTGACCCTGGGTGCCTAGATGGGGGCCATCTGCTCACAGAGAAGGTGGGTGAGCCTGGCCAAGCCCTGGGAGTGGCACCTTCCTGTCCCATGGGCCACCCTCCTCCTCTCTGAAGGACTTAATCCCTAGTTTCAGAACTCTTGCTGTCCAACCCGTGGCTACCCTCTGGCACGTGGAGGGAGAAGTGGGCTGCAAGCCCCTGACCCCATCCACTTGAGAGGTTCCCACCATGTGGGAGAGGTCCCCCACTGTGTGTGGGAGAAGCCCCGCCATGTATGGGTAGGGCACGTGGGGTTCAGATGTCAGTCCCAGGGCTGAGCCGGGATGCCCCCTGGGTCTCCATGGCTATGAGGTGGAGCTTGGAGTTTTGGGGGTTGGTGAGTGGGTGCTTCTCCCGCTCCTCCTGGGCTGGCCAGGAAATATCTGTACACGGCACCCCAGGAAACACCAGTGGTGCTTCCTAGAGACTCTCAGGGTCTCCCAGAGGGGCTGTGGGGGCTGGGAGCTCAGCCCCCCACTTCCACACCAGATCAGAAGGGCCATGCGTGGGCCTGCATGCCGTCTGTGACAGCCTGGGCTGGGTTAGGCACTGCCCTGTGAGGATTTCTGTTCAAATGGGGTCACCAAGCTCCCCGGGGTGAGTGATGGATGGTCCCTGCCGGCCAAGGAGGGCGCAGCAGAGTGGCGCCAGTGGGAACCTCGTGAGATGTGTGCAGTGGGGCCACTGAGGCAGAAAGCAGGGCCTGCCATTGGTCCAGGGACAGGCCCCCACCCCCGCCTCCTGGGAATAGCTCGAGAAGCCGGGCCTGGACCACAGTTCAAAACAAAATAAGTGACGTTTCCAGCCGCTGAGGAAGCCAAGGTTGCTCTGGCAACCCTGGCCTCACCACCACCTTCCCGGAGCGCAGATGGCATCCTGCTCCTGGGACATCCCCACGGCGGCACCTCGCCCAGGCCTCTGCTGCCTGCCCATCCCACCAGCCCTCGGCGCACCTAGTGCCTTCACTGCCTCGCAGGCCTTCCCGACCCTCAGAGAACAGGGTCTGTGTGCAAGTCCAGGGCCCTGCTGCCCGGGACTGTGTCCTGTGAAGGCCGAGCAGTGCTGCGTGTCGGGCCACTCCCCTGCCTGGCTAGCAGGTGCACAGAACCCCTCGGCGGTTGTGGTGAGGGTGGCCGGCCCGAGGTCTGGGATGAGGCAGGAGCCACTCTCCCAGACGAGAGCACCCGCCCGGTGAGGGGAGCCCCCTCCCCGTGTTGGGAGGAACTACAGCTCCAACAGAGTCACACCCTTGAGGTCGGCTGGGCTTGGGGCTGGGAGGGTGCCATGCCTGATCCCTGGGGACAAAGCGCAGCTGTTGCTAGGCACCACCTGTCCCTCCAGCCTTGTTCGCAACGGTCCCGGGGAGGACGGGCAGGGGTGATGGGGAGGGCATGTGCCCCACTCCATCCCTTGTCCTTGGGGCTCCCCAGGGCCACGTGTGGGCCCACTGCCCTCCTCCCCCACAGCCGCCAGGCCCCTTGAAGGAGCCGGTGGCCGGGGTGGGGCAGCACTCAGGGCGGTCTGTCTGCTTCCCTTCCCGATGCCCAGCCCGGCTCTGTCTGCGTCTGGGGCACCGAGGTGGTGTAGCAAGGTCTTGGCAGCCTGTGGCATGGGCAGGGAGGGCAGCTGGAGCACCAGCTCAGTGAGAGGCTTAGGGGCGGGCTGGTTGTCCTCAAGCGTGGACCTAGCTGGCCAGGACAGTCAAGAACGCGTTGTCAAGCAGGACCCCCCGGCCCAAGTGAGCGGCAGCCCCGAGCTGGGCTTCGAGCGCCTCTTCCTCAGGCCCGCTCGAAGGCCGAAGCCACGCTTCCTTCCTCTCTCAGGGTCCCCTTCTCAAGGCTGACAGCAGACCGGATTTCTCCCACAAACCGCCAGCCCCCTCAGCCCTGCAGCTTCCTGGTGGCCAGCCCACCAGCCCCAGCCTTGGAGCCCAGCCCCCCCCCGCCCCTGGCAGCAAAGACCCGGACCACCGCACTTGGTCTCCTGCCTCCAGGACTGTTGCTAGTGGGGCCCAGGGCTTGGAGCAGTGGCCATTCCCTGGCTGCTTGACTCTGGGGTGGCTCATGGTGCAGGGTGGCCAGATTCAGCAAGCATCCCGCCTGCTCGCCGCCTCTCGTCACCTGACAGACAGTCTCCTATCTGATGTGTGTTAACACAACTGGCTTAAGGACACTGTGGTGTGCGGCGAGAGGAGAGCCGGCCGTGATGGTTAAGGTGCCGTGTCAGCTTGGCTGGGCTGTGATTCTTAGCGGTCTGGCATATAGTGAGGTAGCCATCCTCCAATTTCACATAACGTCCATCTTCACATAACAAGCTGGTCTTTGGAACCCGACGATGTGAATGAGTGAGAAGTGGGTGTGGACATATCGGGTGCCCGGGTAAATCTGACTTTCAGGTAATGAATGTCTTTCATTTCGCATAGGTGTATCCCATGAATATCTGGGATATATTTAAACTGTGACGCCTTGTTCATCTGAAATTCAGAGTGCCCTTCCCAGGGTGCCTTGTGTGTGGTGCCCTCCTCAGGGTCTGGCTGCGGAGGAGGGGCTGGTAGGAGAGGGGGCAGCTTGGAGAGGTGGTGGCTGACCGACCAGCGTCGTCCCGGATCTCAGACCGTCCCGGGCGTCTGGAAAACCAGGGTGCCAGGTCTTTCCTCTGGTTCCCTCTCTGGTGCTGGCAAGTGGCCCCCGTTCCATGGCGCCTGTGAACGCAGCGAGGAGCGGGAGGAGGCCGTCGGCCCGGGGGGGAGGCCAGCACGTCACAGGGACGTTCCGCGCAGCATGGTTTACCCGTCATTGGCGTGCTCTGGGCTGCAGGTGACCGCGTGCCCTGCTCTCTCTCCTAGCTGGCCGGAGGTGTGATCCTTGGTGTGGCCTTGTGGCTCCGTCATGACCCGCAGACTACCAACCTCCTGTACCTGGAGCTCGAGGACCGGCCTGCACCCAACACCTTCTATGTGGGTGAGTGTGTGTGCGAGGCGGGCACCCTCGGGATGGCACATCACAGTGTCGGGGCGCAAGCTCAGTGAGGCCCCACGTGGGCAGTCAGGGAGGGCTTCCTGGAGGAGGTGGCCCCCGAGCTGATGAGGTGGGGTCTTCTGGATGAGAGAAATGGCCCCTGTAGAGGACGGGCAGTGGGGCCCAGGGTGTCCTGGGGCAGGGAGGCCAGCCAGGAAGGCGGTGGGGCCTGGGTCCCCCTCTAAAAGTTGTCGCGGATCCTGCTGTCTGTGGGAGTGGGCTGGGCTGGGCGGAGGGAGGGTGGGAATATGCTCCCGGGGACAGCTGGGGTGGTGATGCGGGAGGCCTGTCGGCACCCCGTCCTGTGGGCCAAGGGGTGGCAGCTGGGAGCGGCCCCATGCTAGCCCTGGCATATTTTAAGGAGGTATCTGGGGGAGGCTGCCTGAGAGGGGTGGGGCAGGATGCCTGGGGCCGATCCTGGAGCAGCTGGAAAAGTGCTGGGGTGGGGCTGGGGCTGGGGGTGGGACTCAGCCGATGGGCACCTCGCTGTGGCCTTGCACCAGCTGCAGGCCCTTCCCAGAGAGGGGTGACCCAGGGGGAAGGGCTCCCCACCGGCAGAGCAGGGCACCTCACCTCTGGGCTCCCCACAGGGAAGGCAGGCCTGTTTTCCAAACAAGCATATTTTTGAGATGTTTCTGCCCTTTAAAGGGGCAGCCTGCTCGGGCCCAGGGCAAGTGGGGTACAGGGCTGGAGGCCAGGGTCTGCAGGCCTTAGCTGCACGCAGCTGGACCCCGCCCCTGCAGCCATGCCCAGGCCAGTGCAGGCCCTCTGTCCTGTCAAGGTGGGGAGATTCACTGGGTGGGGTGCTGAACCAGGGTCCTTCTGGGAGGCTAGACACAGCCCCAGACATGGCCCAGCCTGCCAGGCACCCCGGGCTGGGCAGAGCTCTGGCCCAGGGAGGGCTGCCGCCAGCCCTCGGAGCTGGTGCTGCACTCAAGTGGACAGGCTCAGGGTCCAGAGTCGGCAGGAGACTCTCCCCCGCCCCAGTGTCGGGGGGCAGCCCGTGGCTCTGTGTCGGTTCCTGCAGGCGGGCTGGGCGCCCAGTCCTGGGAGGGTCCTTTGCAGCTCCTCCTCCCCCGCAGATTCCCAATCCCCCTCAGGGCCGCATGCATGCCCCACTGGCCTTTTGGGGTCCACGTGCAGCTTGCTGTGACCGCCCCTGCCTCCCTGGGGCCCGGGCCTGTGACCGCCTGGCAGGCTGGTACACAGGGCAGTGGCCTTCCCACACCATGACTCCTGCCCCAGGCACTGGGAACCCCTCCATGACCCAGTACAGGCAGGCCCTGGCAGGGTGGGGAGCAGAGGGGAACTCGGACAAGGGCCCTTTGTCCTGCACCGGGAGGTGGGGCTAGGGGCAGGGCGAGCTCGTCCCCCCCACCCCTGGGAGCCAGGCCAGGCTGGATCCCCACCGCACTGCCCGTGCTCCCATCGGGCCTCGAGTCTCCGACGGGAGCCTGGGGAAGGCTGGGTCTGTTGGTAGGGTCTGCAGAGGGGGCCTCAGGAGGGTCCCAGCGACACCTTGGCCCCACTTCATCGCCCAGAAACCCTGGGGGCTCGCGTTCCCACGGAAGGACCCAGGAAAGCCCAACTGCTCTGGGTCACCTTGTCAGCCTCCCCTTAGACATGAAGAGGGGTGCAGAGCAGGGGCCCAGGGCAGGGCCCGGGCCTGCTCCCCTCAGTGTCCAGCTTTAACAGGAAGCAGCCAGCCAGGCAGGGGGGCCTGGGAGGCAGCTTGGACCAGGCCCTTCCTGAGCCTGGTGGCAGCCTGGCCCGGTGCCTCTTCCCGAGGCTCCAGGCAGTGGACAATGGTCCCCTCCACTAAGCCAGGGGACAGCGGCCTGAGCCGCTGCTGGTGTTGCCATGGCAACTGAGGATGATCCGAGTCTGTTGGGCTTATGTGGGAGGTCAAGGGGCATGGGAGGGCACTGGGGAGATTCAGGGCAGCAGGCTGTGGGAGCAGGAAGGGGGGCACTGAGCGAGCAGGTGTTTGGTATACACGTTGTGCACAGTCGCTGAGCCCAGCTCATGGGGCAGCCTCGTGGTCCTCCACTGGTGGGCCTGCTTCTGTCATAGAAGGGGGAACCTGAGGCAGGGGAGGGCGCCTGCATGCTGGGGCGAAGCCAGGGCCAGGCCCTCCCGCTCTGGGTGCGGGACCCTGGTCCTCAGGTAGTCAGGAAGTGACAAGGTCTGGGACGGTGGCCTGGAACTGGGCTGGGGGGAGGGCTGAGGGCAGAGCACCGGGGGTGCTGACGCCCCCCCACCCTGCCCCAGGCATCTACATCCTCATCGCCGTGGGCGCCGTGATGATGTTTGTGGGCTTCCTGGGCTGTTACGGGGCCATCCAGGAGTCGCAGTGCCTGCTGGGAACGGTAAAGGGGTCCTGGCTGGTCCTGGGCTTGGGGTGAGGAGGCAGCTGGGGTGGCAGGTGCGGGTGGGACTCCGGCCTCTAGTTTTCCTGCTCGCTCTGAGGTGGAACCGTTATCTCATACTCTGCTTCTAAGCCCCGAAGCTGCTTCTCCTTCTTGGAGAAAAGCCAGACACGATGGGAGGGAGCCCCGGCCACACCGCACTCCGGCCTTAGTGGCCCTTTTCTCTGAGACATGCTGGGGTCAGCGTGAGCGCCTGTCCCACCGGGTGGTGCCCCGAGGGTCCAGAGCCAGGTAGGGGGGCGGTGGGGGCATGAGGCCGGCGTCTGGTTCGTGGGCAGGGTCTGCCGTGACAGGGCCTCGTGGCTCAGTCCTGGCTGGGACCCAGTGGTTTGGTGACCACCCCCTCTTCCCTTCCCACTGTTCGCCTGCGTGTCTGCCATCTGGGGAAGGCAAGCCCCATGCTGCCCACCACAGAGGGGCCTTCCTCTGCCTGGCCCCTCCTCATGTCCTGCCCCGTGTGGCCCCCCAGTTCTTCACCTGCTTGGTGATCCTGTTTGCCTGTGAAGTGGCTGCTGGCATCTGGGGCTTTGTCAACAAAGATCAGGTAAGCCAGACCACCAGGTGAGGTCCTCACTCTGGCCGGGGCCAGGTGGAGGGCGGAGAGCCCCCTGCTCGGGGTGGGGGAGGTCTGGCCTCCCCTACAGATGGCAGGTGCACCTGGGGGCTCGCCTGGCAGGAAGATCCAGGCGGGCTGTCTGGAGGCAGTGGCCCTGGGGCACATCAGGTGTGTCCCCTGGCGGAGGTGATCCCTGCTCTGGTGAAGCCCAGCCCACCGGTGCTCCCCACAGATCGCCAAGGACGTGAAGCAGTTCTACGACCAGGCCCTGCAGCAGGCCGTACTGGATGATGACGCCAACAGCGCCAAGGCCGTGGTGAAAACCTTTCACGAGACGGTGCGGCCGCCAGGGGCCCCGGGAGCACCAGTCTCCGGGGGCAAGGCTGTCCTGGGCCCTCTCCTCTGGGGGCCCCAGGCTCTTCCCTGCCCTCTGGGTCCCAGGGTGAGGGCGGTGGGCTGGGCCGGGCCAGGCCGGGGGAGCAGGCGGCCAGGTTCCTGAGCAGTGTCCTCTTACGGGAAGGGCAGTACAGCAGTGCGGGGCGGCCACAGCCCCGCAGGATGGGCTGTGAGGTGGGCGTGGGGTCGCCTGACTGTGGCTGTCGGGGCCCCTGGCCAGCGGCCCACACGTGCCCTGCTGGCCTGACCGCAGCCACCTCTGTCTGTGTAGCTGAACTGCTGTGGGTCCAATGCACTGTCCACGCTGGCCACCTCGCTGGCCAAGAACAGCCTGTGTCCCACGGGCAGCAGCGTCCTCACCAACCTCTTCAAGGTAGGCAGCAGCTGGGGCGGGGTCGTCCCAGGGCAGCTCGTGAACGGTGCAAGGAGCACTGAGCTGCCGGCGCCATCCACGTGACCGTCCGAGGCCCGGAGGGTCCGATGGCCCAGTGGGATAGGCGGGTGGCTGCCGTACATGGGGTCAAGGCCCGTGGGGGCCCTTGGTGGCCACGGCGACTGTGGTGGTCCTCAGCTATACTGAAGTGCTTTGAACCAGGGTGTCCGTTGTACCTCGGGCCTGGCTGTCTTCTGACAGGACGTCACCATGAGTCGGAGTCCACCCCCTGGCACCCTGCTAGGAACTGTGTCCGTGCTGGTGGCCGGGGCTGGGAGAGCCTGGGGTGAGGTCCACTTCAGGGTCCTGACCTTGCTGTCTGTCCACAGGAGGACTGCCACCAGAAGATCGACGACCTCTTCTCGGGAAAGCTGTACCTGATTGGCATCGCCGCCATCGTGGTTGCTGTGATCATGGTGAGAGCCCCGCCCCGCACGCCCCGCCCCTTGTCTCACGCCCCGCCCCTCCCTCGCCCCACGCCCCGCCTCCCTCCTCTCACCCTCAGCCCGCACCTCAGGGCCTCACGTCACCGCCCTCCTCCCGCCCTCCTCCGGCAGATTTTCGAGATGATCCTGAGCATGGTTTTGTGCTGCGGCATCCGGAACAGCTCGGTGTACTAAGGCCCGCGGCGGACCTCCCCGTGTACATAGCGCCCCCATTACTCTGTGCACTTAGCCTCTCCACTTCCAGGTCTCCTTTTGTTCTCAAGCCCCCATCACCTCTCCGGGGCTGGCGGCCCTCGTGGGTGACAGAGGAGCAGGCCGGCGGCCTGGGGATGCAGAGCAGGGCGCCCCTCTGCTCTGGGGCCGCCGGGGGACTCCACCTGGCCCTGGGCCCGGGCCCCCCGAGTTGCGGGGCAGTGGCCCCGCCCGTGCCCGCAGCTCGCGCCTTTTTTAAGCCCGCCCTCCCCTCCCCGACCTGTTTCTAGGGTGGTGTCTGAGCTCTTAGCTACAATGCAGCGCTAACGTGTCGCCTTCGACTATAATTACAACATCTCCCAACAGTCACTCAATAAAGAAAGAATCAACCAGGCATGCCAACCCAGTTCCGACCCCATTCCTGGGGCGGGGGACGCGGGCCCCGCCCTCCGCTCGCCGAGCCAGCCCCGGAGGTGCGGGGGTACACGCGCCACCCTGCAGGACCCCCTCCGCCCTGCTCGCGTCACCATCCAAGGCTTGGGTTTCCGCCCGTCTGGTGGGAGCTGAGGCTGTGCTAGGCCCACTGGCAGGGCCGTGAGGGGTTGTCTTGGATGCCAGGACGGCCAGTCTTTCCCCTTGCTGCCCGTCTGGGTCTGGGTGCTCGCAGACATTGCTGGAGGAGCTGGTGGCTGGGCAGGGCTGGTGGGAAGGCTGAGCGCCAGCAAAGGAGCCCAAGGACGCAGCCCACGGGAGATCGCAGGGCCGACCCTGGGCCCCGCCTGGTCTCTCCCTTCTTCCAAGCTTCCAGTCGGAGGACGAGCGAGCCAGCGTGGTCCAGACATGCCTGGCTGGCCTCGGCCCAGCGCGGCAGAACGCCTCGGGCCTGCCCTGTGACAGGCTGCTCTGGGATGCTGGGCGACATCACCAGGAGCTAGGGTTAGCATACACGCTGAATCGACCCCTTGACATGGCCCGGCTGGGATTCTCATGTCGAGGGCTCCTAGCGGCCTCCTCGGACTGACTCGAACCCACCCCGTTCTTGCTTCTGGGTTAAAGGCTCTCAGGAGGCTGCACCTCGGGCTTCCTCCTCCCCGCCATGGTGCGGGGCGCACAGGTCTGTCTGCGCAAGGTTACAGCCCAGGGGCCCGCCTTCCACAGGCGGTGATCCAGTGGTTCCTGGAGAGGCTGGCGCGAGGGCTTGTCCCACGAATGAGGTGACCCAAAGTTGACTGCAAACCAGGTGCCTTACTTCTCTGTCCCTGGGCTGCTCCTTGAACCCTTGGCCAGACGACCCTGGACTGTGTGAGGTGGGAGATGCAGCCCACCTGGGGCCTGGGCACAGAGGGAGGCATGGTTCAGCACGGGGAGAGCGCAAGCCCTCGTCCTCCATTACCAAGCAGGAAGTGCCTCAGGCCGCCGAGAAGGGAGGCCGGGTTGGCATGCCAGCTCCGTGGCGCCCTCTGGCGCCGGCTCGCTGACGCATATTCCCCCGCTGCCCACCAGCCCAGGCCAACCAGGCGGTGGAGGCGGCCGAGCCTCTGTTCCCTTCCGCCACTCGGCGCTAGCCAGCGGCCTCCTTGCCCCGGCCTCGTGGGCTCGGGTTCCCTGCGCAAGCCAGTGCCACCCAGAGTCCCTTGGACGGGCAGGGGCCGAGCGTGGTTCTGGCTTAGCCACCAGGGGTGCCCGTCCAAGCCTTTCCTAAGCCACACCTCTCCACGGCCACAGCTGCAGCCTCGGAAGAAGGCGTGTCCGTCACCATTAGTGTGTGCCCGGGGCCAGGGAGATGCACGCTGTGCTTCGGGCACGCGGGGAGGGAATGGCCGACCATGCCCGTGTGCCTGCGCAACCCTAGAGGGAAATGGCCGGCCCTGGGCAGAGCCTCTGCTCCTGCTCCCCGGGGAGCAGCTACTAATGGATCGTCGAGGAGAGAAGACGAGGCTGGTCACGCCGCGCAGCCCCGGCTCAACACGTGGGCGGAGCTGGAGTTTACGAGCGGCCCCCCTAAGGTCCCGATTCGGAGCTGCAGGACTTGGGGGTCTCTGGTGCGATGGGGCCGGGCGCGGGAACGCCGCGGGAGCCATCGGACCCGGGCCGTGCCGGCCCGCTCTCTAGAACTAACGGTCCAAGGGAAGAAAACACGCTCGGACACAGAGGGTGGCGAGGCTCAATTGCTTCCGGCCAAGACCGGAAGTGCTCGCGAGCGGCTATTCCGCCGCGGAGCTGGAAAACGCGCTTCCGGTCTGAGGTGGCCGCAGTCCTCGTGACTGCCATTAGGAGGCGCTGGGGCTCCGGGAGCCCCACGCTTACCGCTAGCCCTCGAGCATTCTGGGAGTGCCATCCGGCCTCCTCCCTCCTTTTTCTCGTTAGTCAATTCCAGGCTTGTTTCTCGAAGAAACATCGGCATTTCCTGGCTTTCCCGAGCCGTTCCCCGGTGCGAGGGAACAGGTTTAGGAATAGAGTGGGAAACGCGCACGTACGGGACTACGCGTCCCGGCAGGCCTCGGTAATAGCCGCCCAGTTCTTTGTGGGAGTTGTAGTTCTCTGGACGCGGAAGCGATGGCGCTTAGCCGGTGGAAGACTCGGTTTCCCAGAGGGCCGAGCGCGGTGTCTCGGCAGGCGGCGCGACCAAGATGGAGGCGATCAGGCCCCAGTGAGCCGGTAGGTCCATGGGGCGGACAGACGTGGGGAAGTCGCGGTCCGCACCCCCAAACTCTATGTCCCCCGCCTTTTCGAGGCCTGACTCCCGGGATTCTGAGCCTCCTGAGGGCCAGACCCGGGGCTTATCCATCCAGTCCTTGTTGTTGTTGTTGTTTGCCATCGAGTCGGCCCCGACTCATAGCGACCCCTCCTTGGGTTTCCGAGGCAGTATCACTACGGAAGTAGGATTGCCCAACCTTCCTTCCGAGGAGTGGCTGGTGGGTTTGAACCGCCTGCCTTCTGGTTAGCAGTCAAGTGCCTTAGCCACTATGCTACCATCCAGTCCTAGCCACCCAAAATCATCCGTTCGTTCCCCGCCAAGTGGAGCCTGCTGTGTGCCTGGCACAGAGGCGCTGGGCGCTTAAAACCAAAAAACTCACGCCCACTGCCATGAAGTCCATTCCGACTCATAGCGACCCTGTAGGACAGAGTAGAGCTGCCATAACTCATAACTCACAGCGGCCCCTCTTTGGGTTTCCGAGGCAGTATCACTACGGAAGTAGATTGCCCAACCTTCCTTCCGAGGAGTGGCTGGTGGGTTTGAACCACCCGCCTTCTGGTTAGCAGTCAGGTGCCTTAGGCACTATGCCACCAGAGCTTCCAGAACTGCCATAGAGTTTACAAAGCTGTGCATCTTTATGGAAACCGACTGCCTCATCTTTCTCCCGCAGAGCGACTGGTAGGTTCGAACTGCTGACCTTTGTTTAGATGCATGCTTTAACCCCTGCACCATGAGAGCTCCACTGGGCACTTCAGCAGAGGAAAACAGGGCTCTGCTTTCAACGGGGGGAAAGGCAGAAAGGAAACCAGTGCCCCCATCCCTGGGACCTGTTCTGCCCAGATCCGGGTCCTTGGAAACTCCGGCACCTCAGTTCCTCAGCCAGGAACAACTCTGCCCTCCACTGAACCCTTAAAGTAACTTGAGGGTTTGAAGACTCCTGGGTTCCCTAGTTCCCTATGGTGGGTTCCGACCACCATTTTCCCCCACGCACCTGCTGGAGTGCCCCACACATCAGGCTACTTGGCTTCCAGGTGTGCAGAGAAGAGTGCACATTTCAGAAGCGGGAGGCTGGCTGGAACTCCAGCTTTGACTTGGCCGAGTTATTTTCCATCTGGCGCTGCCAGCCGTAAACCATACGGGAACGTGCTTCCTACCCCTTTCGTCTCTTGCAGTCGACCTTTCCCAGAGGTCCTCCACCTCGCTTGTGCCTGACCCCTTGGGGAGCAGGCACATCTGCCCCCGTCGGCCCCCACGGGCAGCAGGTGCACAGCCTTGGGTCCCCGCACGTGAGGGAAGCTAGGCCAGAAGCTGCTGGTAGCGGCTGGGGGCAGGGACGGGGCTGTGCTCAGCTTGGGAATTTGTGCTTAGGCTGTAGGCACACCCAGCCATGGTGCGGGCTCTGTAGCATTTCTCTGATTCACCGTGAAACACAAATATGTCCCCTGGAAGTGGCTCCTGCCGCATGATCACTGACACCCCAGTTCTCTGAGAGCAGCGCCCACAAGCAGGAGCCAGGAGAGTTCCCCAGCCGCTGTGGAGGCACTTTACAGACGAGTAGAGTAGGCGGAGCAGAGGTTGCCCTGGTCCTGGATTCAGACCCTGGCTGGGCTGCTGACTGGTGACGTCCCCAAACAGGCCACCCAGTTGCTCCAGTCCACAGTGTCTGGACTGACTTGCAGGGGACCCCAGGATTGAGTGTGGTGAGCGGCCCAGAGCACCTGCTCCAGGCCATGAACCGAAGCCCCCGTCCCTCGGGGCTGGGCACCAGTGCACACCCTTGTTCTCTGGTCTGATGGGTGACTCTCTCCCCAGCCCTCATCCGGCTACAGCCAAACGTCCAAACAGCTGTGGAAAGAGGTGTCTGGTACAGAGACAACCACCCCTTTGTCGCGAGGACCTGCATCAGAGCTCCATTTGCCTGGCTGCCTAGCCAGCACACCAGCGTCGGCAACAGCAACAGGACACAAGGGAGGTGAGAGAAGGGTCCTCCGTGGGTGGCGTGGGCCCTGTCCCCTTCTGTGGCAGCCACAGCCCTTCTGCTGCCCAGGGGCATGGTGTGCTGGAGGGAATGGTTCTAAGCGCTGTGAACGCAGCCTCAGAAACACTTCCCGGGCTGTTCGGTCCAGGTGTGCGTGGCCCTCGGACAGATGGCTGAAGCAGGGCTGGGCGAGGCTGAAGGCGAGGGGGAACAGGGGACAGAGCTGGACGACCTGCCTTCGGACACGGTCTCCCTCAGTGACTCCGACTCGGACCTCAGCCTGCCTGGCAGCGCCCAGGTGGAAGCACTGTCCCCAGAGGGCCTGCGTGGCGAGGCCGAGGGGCACTCGGGCCCCGATGAGCCCCCCTCGCCCCCGGCAGGCCGGCCCCAAGCCGCCATCCAGCCATTCCATCTGCAGGGCATGAGCTCTGCCTTCTCCCAGCGCAGCCATGACATCTTCGACCGCCTGGAGGGGGTGGCCCCCGCCGGCAGGGGCGACAGCGGGGCCTTCAAGCGGCCCCTGGCACCCCCAGGCCAGCCTCCAGCCGAGGGCCTGGGCAGGGCCAGTCGGAGCCCTGGCCCTCCCAGGGGCCCCTCCGTCCCCGACTATGTGACCCACCCTGAGCGTTGGACCAAGTACAGCCTAGAGGATGTGGCCGAGGGTGGCGAGCTGAGCAACCGGGCCGCAGCCCTGGCCTTCCTGGGCTCCCGGAGCCTGGCTGTGCCCCCCGACTACACCCCGTCCTTCAACCAGGACCCCTCCAGCCGTGGGGAGGGGAGGATTGTCTTCACAAAACCGGCCCGAGCCGGCGAGGCAGGGCCCGAGAGGAGCCGTGGCCTGAGGAAGACAGCTGAGGGTGCTGTGAAGCTGGCCCACCTGGCCACAAGCCCAGAGACCGAGGAGGGCGGGCGGCCTGGGGGCGCCCCCGGTGGGCCGGCACTGAGCCCTGGGGCGCCTGAACCGGCAGGGACTGTGGGCTTCCACGGCAGCAGGAAGCGGAGCAGAGACCACTTCCGGAGCAAAGGCAGCAGCCCTGCGGGGCCAGGAGCCGAGCCCTGAAGGGAAGCCACTCTGCCGGGCCTGGCACCCAAGCCCAGTCCCCAGAGGGGCAGACGGCCAGTGCCAGCCAGGGCCGACCAGCCAGGCGCCCCGGCCTCGGAGGGAAAGTGACACCTGGGGCGGCTCCTGTAGCCCTTGGGAAGAGGCCTGGTGGGCACGGCCTGCAGGTGGCACCAGCAGCCCCTGCCGGGCAGGTGGTATCAGGCCGCCTGCCTGGGGGGCCCTGCTGTCACTGCCCCAGTGGGGACAGTAAAGGGTTTGGGTGTTCATCCAGGCTCCATGTGTCTTTCTGTGTCCTTGAGGACTTTGTGGGACCACCTGGACGTGTGCACACGTGGGGCCAGGGCAGCATGCCTTGTACTTGTTGGCCAGGACAGGGCTGCTGGCAGGCCGGGGCCAGTCTGCACAGCTCTGGTCCACCTGGAGGGCCCTCAGGGCCAGTGGGAGCACAAGGCCACTTCTGAGATGGTGAGGACTTGAGGGTTCCCCTCTGCTGGCAACAATGTCGATGCTCAGGGTCCCCGGGGAAGATGAGGCCGACCAGGCTGGGGGGATCCCACCCCTATCCCAGATGCTCGGAGTCCCCGGGGAAGATGGGGCTGACTTGGCTGAGGGGATCCCACGCCCCACTGCAGGTGCGATTCTACACTTTGTGGTCTGAACAGCCCCACCTCCCCTGTCCCCCACCCCCAGGTCCAGTCTAACGTGGACCAGCCAGAGCTTTGGGGGTTGGGGCTGTGGGCACGACAGGTATGTCAGGGCAGGGCAGGTGGCCTCTAGTGGAGGACCGTGTAGGTGGTCCCCTCACTGCAGCCGCACAGAGTACCTGGGGTGGGAGCTCAGCCCTGCCCTAGAGCTAGCTGGCCAACCGACGGAAGGACACTCTGGTCCCAAAGGGAGGAAACAACAGCCACCAGTGTGTCACACATTCTCTTA